AGCCCAACACAGAACGCCAATTCACCATGACCCTTTGCTCCAAACCGGAAGGATGCGACCTCATACACCCCGTTCCTCCCCTCTCTACCTTTCTTTGCTTCTCGGTTCCCTATTCTAAACCACTTCTTGTTTTGCATCTTTCCCAACCGCACTTCACTACATCCGTATCATCCAATAGACGCATATTCATTGCGACATTATTCGTTGCACATCTGTTTACTTCATGTAGATAACTGCATTAGCCAGAGGAAGAGGTTATCGGAAACGAGCTTATTCGCTAATCGTGTTATTCTGTCAATGTCACGATGGGAATCTTTAGTGAACAATAATAATAACAACACCAAATGCCTCTCACCCGATTGCCTTGCGTTCTAGGTTGATCCGTTTCGCATACAAACTTTAGCTTATTCCACAACTACTTCGATCCACAGTTTCAATGAAAAAATCATGGTAGAAGAATCCAACAACCAATGGAAAAACACCGATTAGATGCTCCATGGGAGGACTTTAAAGAATGACCCACGTGCGAACATCCCGTAGGCATGCTGTCTCATTGGTCGACAGGATTGAGTAGTTCTCTATTTTGATAGACCCAAAAGTCTACATCCTGCCTTTTGAAACCGCCGGATGACGTGCACCGTCTATTGCATCGCAGCTTTCCTCTGAAAATTCAGGTGTTTTATAGTGCTTTTCTTATCGTACCTGTGAAGCAATCGCTGTATTTCACACTGGTTTACTATGACGCAATGGTTCGGTTACACTGAACAAGTCGGTTGTGTCACTAAGACCCATTCTCAAATCATCGAGGGCGTTAAAGCGCATTAGAAAGATGTAATATTCATCTGTCAGGACTGTGCTTCTCAGGCGGGTAACGAGAGAGTAATGATCGGGCGATAAATCGTGCGATCAGAGCCAGTCACCTCATCCTATCGTACAGCGAAGCGAACTTGGCCTATCACTACTACACCCACAATGGAGAGGAAATAAATTTCCTCTGATGGCCGTTGCTGGTTATATATTTGTTATACAATGCGATCGCCAGTTGAACTGTGATCTTTTTCACTCACATCCGTGTTCTACCAGTGAATTTGCCCCTAACTTTTTCTTGTGATCCTATAGAATAATCCTACGCAATTGGCACAACTTTTGGTCCCTCAACCTGGCATGCAATTGTTCCGTCACTTGTTCGATATGTTTAATAAGCTGCTTTTAATCAATCATGTGATAACTGCCATCCTCTACCGAGGATATCAGCGGCCTAACGGTCATGCTAGAGGTGGTCAATAAGGTATCGGCTCGGAGCAGTGCTAGTTGTTGCACCTGACCCGTTAGATTAAACGATAAAAAACCCAGTTGTTCTAGTGTAGATTGAACCCGCTTTGGAAAACAATGATTCAATTGAAAAATTGCCTCGCAAAAGTTAACCGGGTTACTACCATCTCTGCTGAAAACGTGGTACTAGCAAACATTCATCTCCGTATGGCAATCACAGAAAATTGTCGTTTAATTACCGAAACTGGATAGTTGTACTGAATAACACAGTTCAATATATTAAATTGACGGAAGTGCATTCAGCAGCTATATAAATTCAACAAGCCAATGTTGGGCCATGTGCACTGACCCGAATCCAACAGAATCAATCCCAGATTTGCTGAGCGGTGCAGACTCACGAGCAGAATAACATCCGTACGATTAAAAAGAATACTAGATGGGTTAATTTGTTGCTCTAATACTATGAAATGCTGCCAGACAGCGTCGTTCGATATAACCTCATAGCCAATAAGAACCGTGGAATGAAGCAAATGACATAGCTGGCGGAGAGATCAAGAATGTTATCCGAGCAAGAATACCAATTCAGATTTTTACTTGTACTGATCATCCTTGAAGCGCAATATATANTATATATATATATATATATATATATATATATATATATATATATATATATGCGCCATAGGTATCATGGTACAGTAATCTTCATGAAAAGAAAAACGCTCCATGACTTGCAAGTGGGCTAAATTTTGTCACGTTGTCCAAGCCAAAGCAGATGAATTTTCCTGAGAAATCCGCAGCCGGAACCTTCGGCTAGCGAAAGCCTAATCCACAAGGCAGCGGGGCGGTGTGTTCACTTCATCGGATCATACGCCCATTGAACGGGTTCAAAGGTCCGAGGTGCCCAATAGACCTCGATGCCTAATAGAGTCGGTGACCGTTGCCACAACCGAAAAGGTGTGGGTGTGGTTCGCAAGTTTACTCTTGGTTGGTTTGGAATCACGGTTTTTGGCCAGCTCCCCTAATTGAACTGCCAGTGGTCCACCAACCTGGTTATAGTCTCGGATGTCGGTTTCTCGTCCCCCCACATTGCTGGAAAACACCTCTGCCACGAGAAGGCAGTGAGTAAGGCTTCCTTGGCATGGCTGTTCCACTGAGTAGTTAGTATGGATGCATACTAACCAGTGCATAATCTTACCAATGTTAATTGGGTTGTGCAATCACCCCAACACCAACAATGTTGCTCAAACGCGAAGTTTACCATGATGAACTGTTACCAGTCCGTCTCAGGAATAAATATCCGACCAGACTTAACTACTTTAATGGATATTTGGCTGACGGATCTAGACTGAGTTGAGGTCATTGAGAAGTAAAAGAGGTAACCTCACGAAATTTGACCAGCGTATACCATGTGGCCACCTCGATCTAAGAACTCATCTGCTACTGTCGGATCAACCCGGTTGAACGGCAGTGATTCACAATGGGCACAACACGAAGTGTTGTCTAGTGAACGGGAACCAAAGCACACTGAGAGAAAAACAGGACAGGAAACAATAAACCACAATGGAGCTCGCCGAAAAAACGACCAACGGGTAGACAGTATTCCATCCTGAGCCTGGGGACTTTGGAATTCAAATTAAAGACTGAGTCACATTATGAACTTGAACCAATTCGACACCGGATCGCTTCATAATGCGCATCAAGAGTGGCGTCAGGTACAGCTCAAAGCAGACATTGTAACCAGATTTGGTTAAATGAGGTAATGCCACCAAACAGATAATTTGATAAGTAACTGTCGGAAATATTTTACAACTAACTGAAATTCCAAATCCCATGTGAGGATATATTAAACACCATTTATAAATGATGAATAATTAGTAGTGAAGGAAAGCCTGATAACCACTAGTTGGCTCGCTGGGTATGAATACATGGCAGTTCCAAGAAATGAATATTGGTGTTTATTTTATTGCAGTCTCTCCCCACTTCACATCTTAGCGCTAGGTGGGAGAAAAAAGAATGAGTAAGTCACAGAAGTCTGTGTGTATTGTCAATATATATATACGTCTGAATACTGCTATACACGGCGATTTGACCGGTAAACAACTGTAAGCACAGGATGGGATAAGGTGCGTGAACAGCAGGGCGGTCAGACGCCCGCGATACAGGCAAACCAAATCAGCAATAGGTAAAAAAGGAGAAGAACAGAAATATACGACACTGTATAAGATGATAATGGTGAGGATGATCCGATCAATGAGTGATCACTGCTCTGGGCACATCATACGAAACCGCGTCAGTGTTTGTGCAAAGTGCCTGCTTGGTGGCGTCCCACATCAAAGCAAAGATAACTGGACAATCAAACAATCACTGCTCACAGAGACAGAGCATGAAGTGCACAAAGCGTCAGGTTTTGTTTTTTATCGACTGAATGAACAAGACACCGGAATAGCGCTGTCAGAAATAGGACTAGTAAAAGAGAATACCTGTAATGGCTTAGTAATAGTAATAGGGAAGATAATTAGCGAAAAGACGAATCCACCTGTTTCACAGTGACCACAGATGGGGAGAAGAGACCGTAATGGGTGGAGGCGTGGCACACCGACCTCAACACAAGATCTGATGCAAATTAGTCAAGTGGATATCTCATTTAGAAAACTTCTTCCTTTCGCTGTGTGCCATCAAAAGCGTCTGCACGACACAACGGACAAGTTCGCTTTGTTTTCAACCATTTATCCACACATTTAACGTGGAACTCATGTCGACAGCGCATTGTGCGCAACAAATCTTTATCGACGTAATCGTCCAGGCAAATCATGCAGCGCTCCTCTTCTACCACAGCCGACCCGTTCAGCTCCGATTTAGTATCAGTGGTTTTATTTTTGTTCTGGAGAGCATCACTGTTCGTGCGATCTGGCTTGATATACGATCGGATCGTTAGAGTATTCAATTCCTCAGCAGTCAAACCCCGGCGAGTGTTGGATGCCAACTGTACAGCCAAATGATACAATGTGTCCACGCTGGCAGCTGCAGCTGCGGCAGCCGCGGCGGCCGCAGCAGCCGCCGCTGCTGTGGCGGCCGATGAGGAAGATCCAGATGAGTCCGGTCCCGAGGGCATTCCTCCAATTCGAGTATCACCTGCACGATCGGAAGCCGATGCAGCCGCCGCAGCTGCGGCAGCAGACTGAACTAACAGAGAGGCTGATAAATCAGCTACATCAGTGGATGTTGGACCAGCGGCTGACGCTGGTGTAGCAGGAACAGCCAACAGGAACGGAAATAGACTGGTCAAATAGGCTGGAGAACCTATACTTGTTGCGCTGGCGGGTACAAAGTCGGCGGAACTAGTCTGCATTGGGCAACTCATGTTTTGTTGAGATTGATGAGCGGGATGTTGATGGGTATGCCCATAATGACTATGATGATAGCAAGAGGGAGATTGTCGAACATGCACCTGATGCATTGTTCCAACGCTCGTTGGATAATATAGATGAGCGTGTAAAATGGGAACTGGAATGGAAGGTGTGGGAGCTGCACGAGGAGCTGCCAACATCGAGATTGCATTCGCTGGCGTCTGGCGGGTATGATGCTGCTGAAGCGCTGCAGCAGCAGCCATAGCAGCGGCAGCCAAAGCAACAGCTGCTGAGCTCGTTGGGTGTGATGTGGAAGCATGAACGCGATCCGTGTGAGTGGCAGGAATAGCTGAGATTGTCGGTGTGAATAGTCCGGGTGGAGGCAATGTGTAATGTATTGTATGGATTGGCTGGATCACAGCTGGGTTAGAGGATGCTTGAGACATGCCCGAATGATGATTTGCCACCAAAGGCGGTGTGACTGCTGAGGCGACACGGCTACCGTATAGGCCACCAGCGGAAGCGCTAACAACTACACTTGGATGAGAGGCACCGGCAGTAGCCGTCATGGCGGACGGATAATAGGGAAGGGAGTAGGTGTCCTGAAACAGGGAAAAGTGAAAGAACCGCATCAACCACACGGGTTTGTCAGATCAAAAGTGTATTTAAACATTTGAACGGTAAACAGCACCCATGGGAAGAAAAGGACAGTGACGGAGGATTTCGATGTAAAGAACAACCAGAAAACGAAACCCATGGACCAGGAGTGATTAACCATCGACCGCGATTCAATTCTCGCTCTACAAATATCCAAGCTTCAAAGCTTATTTGAACTTATTTTTTACGGTTTTGGGTTTTGCTTCTGAATGTTTCATTACCTGATCTGCCTATAAAGGATTATTCGATCTATTCAATCAGGTACAAATTTATGTCGCAATGTTTTCAAAAGCACTCACCTGTCGCTGGTTAATCAGACGGAGAAATCGCAGAAGCGAATGTATGTCACGCGTGGTAGACAATGCGTTTCTCGGTGGAACAGAGAATAATGGAACAGGAGAGATGAGCGAAGCCGGTGTGGACATCGGTGGACCCAGTACTGGCATCGGAGGTGGACGAGACTGGGATAGTGAGTGCGTCATATTGATCACTTGATGCGCTGCGCTGGCTGCAGCCACATGCAATGCGGCCGCATTTGCCAACGTGTTCGGCTGACTGGCTGCGGCGGCTGCAGCTGCCACAGCAGCCGCGGCAGCTGCAGTGGCCACTTCAGTGGGAACTGTGACTAGATTGCTTTCAGCGGAATGAGACGGACATGAATTCGATGGTAGGACAGTATTGCTCACAGAGCCATGAAGCGAACCTAAGCTGAGTAATCGACTGGACGGCACCAGATGATCTAACAATGGCGTTCCACAATGAACTGAAGCCGGAGTGAAAAACGAACAGGGAACTGACGTGGCAGATGATGTTGCAGCAGCGGCAGCTGCAGCCGCCACGGCAACTCGGGCTGCTGCTGCCGCAGCAACCGCATGCGCAGCTTGGCTAGTGATGGGAAACGAGGTTCGCGGCAAGGAATTAGATGAGCGACGTGGATAGGGAGGACAACCATACTGACCACCGAGTGGCGATGGATGGGACTGAGGTGGAAATGGTGCAGTATGCTCATTTGCAGTTGATGAAGCCAGCCTTGACCCTATGGAACGAAAATAACAGGGTATAGGATGAAACGAGTATTTAAAATCAAGGGGTAATATCTTGCGCGGTTTCCTTGAATATATCTCACGAACAATAAGAGTGCATAGGAATAGCTTTCTTCTCATTGGTTGCGGAGAATAGTAACCATCTGCCAAATTTAGTTCAGTCCATTTAACCTTGCACTCTCGCGCAACAGTTGATTTCTTAGATGGAGTACAGGGCAGAGTTAAAAGGTTGCAAGTAGTAACCGGGTGAAGAATGCGATTATATTATATTTCTTAGAGTAGAGGAAAGAGTATCGCTGATGAGGTTGCTTAGAACTATCACTCAGTGCTCTAACAGTCGATTCGCCTGATCACGAGGTTCTCAATCGGGAAACCTGACGCATCCTATAAAGCCAGTTTCTGCGCTGTGGACTTTATATCCTCCTTTCAAGTGGATCGATGCAGTCATAAGGGAGAAAACTACTATTTAGCCTATCACGAATCACGACGTAATAAGGGAGATTGAAATTTATGAATTCGATAAGCACAAACCAAATTGTCATTACGTTCGCACTGTACGCAACTTGACGGGATGGTAATCAGCCCTTGATGTATGGTAATTTGACAGTGCATCCGAATGTACAGACAAAAGTCGGAAAGTTTTCAGCAGTCATTATATTCCCACAAGTGAAGCATGAAAACCACTTGCTGACTAAATGAATTAGGAGACAAACAGGCCTGAAGTTCACTCATAAGAAATCATCTAAATGAACTGAGACTGTGAAGCTGGAGTTGGGGGACCAAGCTGTTTATTCACTGATTCACGTAGTTGGAAGTAAGAGGAATCAGCATTTTCGCAATATGCACATTCCCTAAGTTTCACTCTCAGTTTCGGTTAATACAACCAAATGCCAATCGAGCCTTTTGTATGCGAGTCAACGTTTCATCCACGATGCATCTCCCGGGTGTGATGCAACTGTCCAAACAGCAAAACTTGTCCACTTGCTATATTGCTTCCCCGGTTAGTGAGACTGGGAGCTGGAATATTGGTTTGCATTTTGAAGGTGCAAAACGTATACCGAACATGGTTACATTAGCACTCAAGCTATCCAGAACAGCTTGCAACTTATTCGGATTTTCATTTAGCAGTACAGTGTTGTCTGTAAACTCACACAGTCTCAGCAATGCCCTTCAGTTTGTTTTATCAAACTCATGCAATGCAGTGTAGACACCAATAATTTACCTTTATCTTGTTCCCGTATTGACCAAGTCCATGCACCATTCAGCAGCACCAGCTGAACTGCCGTAGAATAAACCCGACCCTGCAGAGACAGCAACGGTGCCACAGATGTCCCAAAATGGCAGTCGTCAGCTGAGCCTTCTGATTGTGTGTCATCACTTCACTATTCCTCGACTGCCAACACAAGAGATAAACTCTTTGAATGGTCCAGGGAATATACGTTCCCGCCATGTATGTTTCCTAGATTACTTAATTTTTTTCATCTCTTGTGCTAGCAGAGGATACCAGAAACAATCAACTTTTGATCGTATAACTTCTATGATGCAGGCCGCGTGGAGTTTCGATTCCTTGAAGGTGGGTTTTGCGCATGCACTAGCCAATCGAACAAATAAATTTGTGAACATACATCATATAACGAACCATGTTATGAAAGGGACTAGGCCAAATTAGAATGTACTTAAAAGAGATTGAGTGAGTGAAGACTACAGACACTATCTTTTCATTTACAGTATAGGTCCACAAACAACAAACAACACTAAAACTGGGCCAATTGGACCCTTAGATTAAAAATGAGAACTGCTATCACTCAATATATTCATTAGTCACCTTTGTCCGGCATGTAACGAACAACCAGAGTGGAAATACTTGTCGTTGTAACCAGGACTATTCGAATGGGCAACAAACAGCCGAACCAGCACAAACAACAGAACAAACAGTCCCGTTAAATCGAGTAGTAGGATAACACGTACCCGAACACAAGACATCTGCGACTAGTGACTGCCCAGAAGAGTCCGCTTCAACCGAACAAAGATAATGAGAGGAAGTGGTCACCCCCGCTGAACTGGGTGCAAGAGAGACAGGGGAACCAACTGACGTACCCATTGGTCGTGACGAATGTGCCAGTGAAATTGGATTAAACGAAGCCATAGACCGTTGGAGAGCTGCGGGTTGTGATGGACCATGCGGATCGTTCCCTGAGGCTATGACTGCAGCAAGATCTATCTGGGTCGGGGATATATACAAAGCACTGTTCATGGAAGAAACAGGGACAGTGAACGTTTGCTGCCTTACGGAAGTGCTCAGTCTCCGGGGTAAGACGGAAACTGGTGTGGCAGGCAGTTGTTCATCAGGAGACTGGTGATGCTGTACGACGGCTGATACCGCCTGAGCCGCAGCAGCCACTGCATGCGCTGCCGCTGAGGCGACCGCAGCAGCAGCGACTACGGCAGCCTGATCAGTTTCGGAAGCAGCACGATGGGCGGTGAAATTGTGTCCTGTTTGTGAAGACGGAATGGGATCTATTCGTAACTGACTCGGTCTGTTTGGATGACGACCATGAGACCCGGGGGATACTGACTGTAACGGGGAGGGGGGAAAAGGCAACAAGCATCAAGTGTTGAGTTTGAGAACAAGCGACCTACGGGTGGAACGGATCCTACAGAGAAATTGTGGGCGGTGCTCATTGTCAACTATGTCGATTGTGACAATTTACAAGCCGACGACAGATATCACATTTGAGTAAGCTCAGTTGATTGATTACCTGTAGTCTTCGAAGCTCAGCTTATCATTAATTTTCTGCTAAACACTATCTGTGTTGAGGAAATTCCAAGATGTAATTGCAAAACATACGCAAGCCCGCCGAGCATCGTCATTTACCAGTGATTCAGGAGAAAAAACTTACTCTGATCTGCGTCTGGCTGTTGGATTGGGACAAACCATGACCATTGTCAACTTGATCTAAGTTGGTCTGAGGACCGGGATTCGGAGATGTGGTGCACGCTGCGTAGGCCAATGTAAGTAGATTATCAACCACCATATGTGCCTCTTGCTCGTTTGCCGGTAAGTCCTCGTGTCCGGTATTAGATGATCTCTGAGTTTGGGTGTGCATGGCATCCATGTGATGAAGCATGCTCTGATGCAGCACATCAGCGTTCACAGACAACTGAGGCAAATTTAGTTGCGGTTCAAGCTCTCGGGAACTGGAATCGATGGCTGTGATAAGCGAAACAACAACAACAACCAATATGTGGTTAATATCTCCACGAGCATGTGCACGTTGGCAAGCCAGCGAAATTAAGTTATAATCAACTATTACGTATGGACGTAATGAATATTATGCAGCGAACCGTGATCAGGAAATTTTACTTGCCAGAAAATTCATGTTGTACTCCGTAAATTCTTCATAAGTTTCAACATTATTCAATCTCGTCTGTGTTTCTAAATCCTGGTATCACGGATTCATATGGTGCCTAATTTGTACAAAAATATTAATAAATAAATCACAGTTGTTATTTCTTAATACTTTTAATTTAAAAGAGGGGATTCGTCGTGTATAAAACAAATGAAGTGTGCACTGAAAGGCTTGACATCGGACAGCTGTTTCGACCTGGTTGGTTTTCATCAAGCAACAAGCTCGCAAAGATGGGTTGTTCTATATCGTGTAAATGGAAAATGAAGAACGGTCTGATCTGCTGTTCAGTGGTCGAATGGGTAGCATCCTTGCGTGTTACCTGCGAGGTCCCGGGTTCAATCCCCAGTTGAGTCGATGGATTCGCATTGCTGATGAAACACAACCAGGTCTAAACATCTGTACAGTGCTGCCTAGCTTTTCAGTTCACGCTTCATTTGTTGTATACACGAATTCCCTCTCTTTGAAGTTGAATTAAATCCCTCCATTACTCTCATGTAACTATTTTGATTGTTTGAAACCCCTAGCATTGTTCTGCCAACGTTGCTGGCTTTCTGCGTCTAGTTTTAAACCGATAATTATAGAGGTGTAATAATAGTAATGATGAAGTATATACCTCACCCAACGAGTATGGGCACGATGAACATACAATAAGAAGGCTAGAAACTATGGACAGACTTAGCAAACAAGGAACAGAAGCGGAGTCCCGTACGCGTGCGCCGCCACGAAAGGCAATTATAAGTACATACCATAAACAGAGGCTTGCAAATGGTCGTTATGTGATGTAATCGAACTGTTACCGGACAGTCCTGTCGAGATGTGGCAACCACGTTCACACGCTGAATCGGAATATGGTTGGCCTCCGTCTGGTTTGACCGGTGGTAATGGAACACTGTCTGATGGAAAGTAGGCTGGTGAACTGCAAGAACCTTGTGAATCTGGCGGACTAGGTGCCAATCGACAGGAAACCGATTTGAGACCGAGTGCACTAGTAGCCGCACTGTATTTTCCTGTACCTTGGACAAATAAACGGTGGCACAGGGGGGATCACGGTCAAGGACAAATCAAAGCCCGCAACTGAAAAGCCGTTCTATCAGTTAGTCTATCGACTAAAAGCAGGAAAAATTTCACATCGTCTACTGCCTTATAGTGCATCAATGGGAAGCTGTCCACAAATGCTAACATCTTAACCGTACAAAAACCTTGTAAGTGTCCAATTGTGATCAATGAATGAGTGGTTCGCTACTGTGTTCCCTGTGAGCACCTCTCTACAACAGCACTGACTTGGGTTACATATTCCTCTAAGATGAAGTGTGTCTTGCTTATCAAGTTGACTTCTGTATGTGACAGACTCCTGAGATACAATGCAATATCAAGTGACTGTGAGATGAGTGAAGATTCCGATTCAACAAAACAAATTTGTACGAGTCCGTTTGTCGATACAGTGATTGGTACTAAATGCCAACTAATCTACAAAGGCTCCCGGGGAGCGCCTCATTTACAACGAACACCCGTATGAATCTGTGTCCAAATGAAACTTTTCTCTGAACATACAACCCATACAACGGAACACGATTCCGTTCAGAAATCGCATAGATAGAATACATTTTACTGTACTATGCCTATCGTGAATGCAATGGGGGAGCATAACCAGAAAGATTAAAAATGTTATCCTAAAGTGCGATACACTGGCAATTTCGATGGTTCGTATGCGGAAAAAAATAGACTGGTAAAGAAGACCGCTCTACAGGAAATGTTTTCGTAACGGTGATTCAGCCACNAGTGTAATTTCACACCGCCAAATCAACAAGTGTGGGAAGCATGTGACCAGTTTAGATAAATCGATCCTTTAGTGTGCACACCGCTGAACTCGTTGGAACAGTTCAGTTCAGTTTGTACAACCATTAACCATGCACTTTCGTGCGCCGGTTTTGGTTGCTGTATTTTGGCCACCCATTTGAATGAACAATATGAGAAGGACAAGAAAGCTTAAAGTAGAGTCGAATAGAAAATTGAGAAGTTCCGTGGACTGATTTTGCAACGAAATCGAGATGCACTGTTTACGACACCCAGCCACATCACTCAGTGTCTTAAATCATCGGTTGCGATCATCCCGAGGTTCCCAGCCAGGGAGCCTAACGGGACCTATATGATCCAGTCCCTTGGTTAGGATTTTTACACCCTCGTGCCAGGTCTTCGCTTGACTCGCTGAATCTGCAAGCACATATTCTTTTCTTATCCAACCAAGAAGTAAATATGGTTTTAGGAAAACCTTTCACATATTGAAAACAACACCAACTAACCAATGCATAACTCAATGGAGGAAGCAGTTATAGCGCCAGCTCTCAATGGAATCGAGAAGGGAAGGGTTGACTGAAAGTTTCCTGCAGGTACAAGCTATCAGCCTCGTGCTAGCAAGTCCATAAGTGTACTGTGCAGCCAGTTTGTCGCTGACTTCATCATCATCATCATCGTACAGCAAAATACAGTGAAGCGAACTTCACTGAACGCTGCCGAAAATCGTAATTCATACAAGGTTAGTGGTAAAATTTAAGGTGGACAGGGATTGGACCTACTTTGAGGGAGGG